ATGTTCCAACAGGTATGTGAATGTTCTTATCTTCATTGTAATAGCATTGTATAGCTTCAGGAAACATTTCATTAGCGGTTAAAGCAATAACATCTTGCTTCACGCCTTTCATTCTGCAGTGAAATGCAACTTCATTTAAATCGTTAGTGAGTAAGTCTATGTAGGTCTTCTTTCCACAGAAAATACTTTTATAAGCTAAACTTTGTTTTCCAGGTGTTATTTCTGCAAAGTCGCTATGAAATTGACCAAGGTTCTTTCCTATAAGTTCGCGACCATATCTCTTCTTAAACTCTGCTGCAAGCTTTGGGATGTCTTCATTATATAAGTGCATACTGTCGGTATCCTGGTAAAAGATTTGAAGTCCCATGTCCTCTGCAGTACAGAATACTTCATTCATAATACGTTTTGACATAGACAGAATATTAACACCAAGTGGACAGAAGTTAAAGTGTCTGCAAATGCTTTTCGTTAGCTTGAAAATAGTTTTATCTGAACCATCCAAACCTTCGAACTTCACTATATGGTTGTAATTTCTTATAGCATATCTTATAGCATCTTTGTCATCTACTATGGTTATTTTTGACTCAATAGGAGATAGAATAGTTTTGCCATAAATGCTGTTCAGAATGAGTTTTATAATTTCTTGTAAGGGGTTTTCTTCTTTCTTATACTTTAACCTTAACTCAAACAACTTCTTTACTTCATCTCTTATTCTCATATCTCTGTTTCCATCGTAATAGTATCCTTGCAACACTTCACATTTGACACCTTGATATTTTATGAGGTCTTGTAATGTTATATGGTCAACATACATGAGACAGCAAGTGTTTGAACTTCTTGGAACGTTAAGTTCTGGATTTAGTTCAGGGTCGCAAACTATTAAATGAAAGTGTCTGGGTATACCAATCTCTGTTATCTTAATGAGAACAAAGAAGCCAGACATAAACTTTTCACCAATGGGTTCCTTTTGGTCGTCATCGAATAAATGTCTCATGAGATACTCTGTGCTTAACATTTCTTCCTTCAATACTTTTGGAATACCTTCTAAAGTATAAAGTCTTGCTATAGCTGAAGGATATAATGAAACAGTGTCGAAGTCAGCAATGAGTTTCTTTTTGCTCTTTTGTTTCATGTTATCTGACAACATACATCTTCCACCTTGAATGCATCTCGAAATAAATTCTCTTGGTTTATTTGAGAGGTCATAAAGATTTCCATTCGGGAAGTATACTCTGTTCTCAAACAATTTGTTAGCAATAGAACAAATACTAACGTAGTCATAAACGTTTAAATCAAACTCTTTCAATAAGTCATTGCGGAACTTTACAAAACCTTCTCTTAAAATTCTTACATCTTGTTTGCAGTAAAACGTGCTATATTTTTCTAAGTCGAAGTGGTTTTCATCTATTCTGCAACCTTTGATGGAATCTATGTTCTTCATAAATGTATCTGCATCATGGATAAACTTACATGCTTCAGAAATGACACCAGTTCTGTTGTCATTTGCTAACAAAACACTGCTGTAGTAGTTATATGGAAATACTTCTTTCGGTCCTGTTTGTAAGTTAAACATAGCAGGAAATAGTTTAAGCTTCTTATTTATAACACTGTAAGAGTCTTTTATAATAATTGCCCTTCCTTTATATAAACCAGTTATTTGCATTGTTCGTGAACCTTTAATGATGGGAGTTCCTTTCACTTCTGTCATGTGTCTTAAGATGAAGTTTATGTCATAACTGAGGTTATGGAAATATATTAAACTCTTGTCAGGAAGTCTTTCCAAAAATTCTGTTGCACAGTTTTGACCCCAAATACTTTCACTAACTGAACCATCTTCACTGTCATAACAGATGTTAAAAGCTTTATGAAAGCCATCCGTACTACACTCAAAGTCAGCAAAGAAAACGTGCTCAGGTATGAACTTACATTTAGCTTTATTTACTTCTTTTGACTCTGCTTTCTTCTTCAGTTGTACACAATACTTTGGAGCATATGTCAAATCTTTAAATGGTGCAAGGTTCTGTTTATATAAGTCAGTCGTATATGTGAAAAGTTCTCCATAAGAAATAGGTTCAAAATATTTGCACTCCCACAATGTTTTCATAACATCCCATAGCGGTGTAGTTCTATCCATGCGAACTACATATTTATCTTCTCTCTTTGTATATATTTTCATCTGTTTTTCAATGTTCATTCCACCACACTCCTTCAAGATTTCTATATAGTTTCGAATGAAATATGTTGTCATTGGAAGTCTTTCATTTAGCATGTAGTGGTCTTCAACAAGAAGTAAGTCAATAGTTCGAACAGTTTCACATTCTTTTGGTATGTATCTCTTTATTTCATTATGTCTTGAGTCATTGAAGTAACCAATGGTAACATTAAATGCTATACCTGTTGCGTCAGAAATTTCTTGTACTTTACTTTGAGGAAAGTCTCTAACACGAATGACTTCTCTCATGTGGTCAATAGTTTCTTCATTTACTCCAGCCTGAATGCAAGCATAAACGAAGCAGTTATCTTCTGTCATAAGTGTTGCAGTTCTTTTGTTCAGTTCATTGAAGATTTGGTAGCGTTCAAGATTTATAGGTAATGTGCAAAGATACTTCCAGAACTGACCGCTTCTCTTCTTATAAAACTTCTTTTCACCATTATCTTTCCAAAAGCTTTCTATAAGTGCTGGGTTTCCTGTTTGCTTAAGAGCTTCCAAAATGGCTTTCTGGTCATTTGTCAGTGTGCTTTCATCTCTATATGGTCTCTTTTTTGGTTTGCCTTTCTTTACATCTGACATCGTTAAGCCTTCATATTCTGTTAAATCATACATCTTTATTTCGTAAGATTCTTTATGTTTGTCAAGAAGAAGTCATAGTGCATTTCAACAATACCTGCAGCATTTGCTTCTATCTCTGATATAAAGTTCTCCTTCAAGAGCTGATGTAGTAATGTTCCAATATTATTGAGGTTTAACGTAGAACATTCATACTTTCCACCAAGTTTATAACATACCATCCATCTCTGTTGGGAGTTTATTTTAATTTTCTCTAAGAGTCTCATGAAAACCTTACCGAAATGTTTGTGTAAGTAGTCTCTGTTTGGTTCATCTAAAGCTTCGATGTTAAAGTCAATGAGTCTATTGCCTGACTTCACATTCCTCTTCCTATTTTCTTCATCTTTCTTTAACCATCTCTCACCTTCTTTTGGTTTGTCGTCAATGGAACGAATGACATTATTAGCTTTGCGAACTTGTTCTATAGCACTTTTAAACATCTCTCTTCTCTGTTGTTTCAGTGTGTCATCTCTCTTTCGTGTTTCACCAACGTTTGCATTTGTTATGTCAAACATTTCTCTTCTTACTTCATGTGGTACAGCTCTTCTTGTTTCACCAACGTTTGCATTTGTTATGTCAAACATCTCTTGACGAACGTCATGTGAAAGAGCTTTACGAGTATGACCAACGTTTGCATTTGTTATGTCAAACATTTCTCTTCTTACTTCATGAGGTATTGAACGTCTATGATATAAGTCAATAGCAACGTCATTTAAAGGAAATGCTCTTGCATGGACTTCGTCCTCGCCGCGTTGCGGCTTTATGAACTCATGAATTCTATCATAAGTTATTTCACCATTATAGTCATTGAGGATGTCAGCGAGTGCCTTTTTGTTTGTTGTGTAATGCTTTGCAACATCTATATTAGCTTCTGTAAGAAGTTGTTTTATTTCCGAGTGTTCTAACTTAGACAACTTCCGATACATCTTTAGTAGGAAATAAAAAAAATATTTTTTGAAAAAATAAACTTAGAAAAATTATTTCTTTCTATATTTGCCATTCCGAACTTCGAAAAGATGTTTTATACCAGCATAGAATTTTTCTCTAGAGCTTGGTCTTATATTGTTTTCATGACAATATTTTCTATATTCTTCATATAAAGCCTTTTTTTCATACATTTCATAAGGACAATCTAACCAGAATAGTGCATATCCAGTTTCGTTATCTAGGTCTCTATATGTTTCTTCTGTTTGTAGAATTTCGCTTTCTTCTATTTGTAGAATTTCGCTTTCTCTATTTAGTTCTATGACTATATATTGTGGCTTAAAAAGATGTGGGCAAGAAGGGTCTGGCGCTATGTAAAAAGTTAATTTTTCTGTCATCTTTTCTATCGGATAAAAAATATTTTTTGAAAAAATTAGATTAGATTTTTTTAAGTTATTTTTCAAAATAATTTAATATTTTTATTTTAATGAAACACATGCAAGATTGCAAGTTCTTTTCATACAATGCTCTCGCTACTGTCATCAAGAATGAGTTCAATAATGCTTCAAACGTCAATGTTATCTTTAACAAGAAGTTTGTGAAAGAATCTAAGTTTGGTCAGTATGTCAGACCATTAGCTATTGTCATTGACCGCAAACGTTATACTTCACAAGAGTTAGCAGTAGTTTTGAAACAAAAGGGTTTCTTCGTGAATGTCAAAGATACTCATTATACTATTATAAAGAACTCCAACATTGACTTCTTCAGTATTGCTATGAATCTTTCCGAACAGAAAGAATATAAGAAGGGTGAAACAAATGTGAAATATTATTCTTCATCTCTGAAAACAATAACGAACAAAGATGTTATACAAAAGTTCTTACCAAAGGTTGAAGAAGCTTCTATTGACATTGACGAAGGAAGTGAAATGGTTGAAGAAATTGACCCTGACGTCATTTAAGCAAAAATATATTTTTGGTTAGTCTTCATATCGATATTTTACAACAATTCCCCAATGTATAAACTTTTCATACGCTTTTTCATAAGCTTTATATACCTTCAGAAATTTTGCATAATCTTTAGAAGCATTTAGATATTGTTTAAATGCTTTGTATGTCTTCAGAAATTTTGCATAATCTTTTACATGTTGTTCGTTCTCTTCTTCTGTCATGAGTTCCGAATATTCTAAATTCATGTTCTTTCATATGAGATAAAATTTTATAAAAAAATAAAATTAGCTTAGATTTTTTTATTCTTCCTCTTTGAAGTTATCGAAATATTCTGTTATTTTTTCCTTCAGTAATGTTAAGTCTTCTTTGAATGTAAGTATTGTGCAACCTTTGATGTCATAGTGTGTTTGAGGAAGAGTATTTTTGACAATTTCCTTTATTTGCTCATTCGGTGTCATTGAAATCGGTAAGTTTTCACGATAGAACCAGTTTCTGTCAGATTTGTAAATCTTAGCAAGGTCATAAAAGCTTTTGTTGTTTCTTCTGACTAAATGCAACATAACCATATCTTTATCTTCTTCTTTCTCCAACTCTTCAGTATATATCATATACTTATAACTCTTTTCCTTTCCTTTTGGTACTGAACGTGGTATTCTTTTCTGTATGCTTTTGTCTTTGGATTCAATGACTTCATCTTTTGCTTGAAGTTTCTTTTCCATCTCTCCACGTTCTTGTCTATGAATTTCGTCAAGAAGTCTGTAAACATGCCATGCATAACGAGGAGAAGCCCACATTGCAACTGCATTTACTAAAAGTCTATGAACATAATAACCTCTTAAATTTATTGGCAAATTTTTACGATTTTCGTACGGAATCTCTTCTCTCGGTTTTCCGAGGGAAGCAATCATATGAGGAAATTCTTCTAAAAGTTCTTTTGTCTGTTGGTTTTCAAACCAATGATATGCTTGCTTTGTAGAACGAAGAGCATTCATTATACTTTGCATTTGGTACATATCGTCTTTGACCGAACGAATGAGACGGAGTTGTTTGTTAAACTGAACCCACTCGTATTCTTCATTTATAGCTTCATGAACGATAGCAGTTGTTGTGTTCTCTGTTGTTGACATATCTGTCCTTACATACAAAATAAAAAAATAAATAAAAATAAAATTAGCGTTATTTTCTGACTTTCACAAAAGACCAAAAATAAACGCTTTACATGTATTTTTCAGCAACTTCGTCAAATAATTTTATAGCTTTATCTATCTCATCTACTTCAAACGTTTCTTTACCTTTCGTGGGAGCACCATACATTTTCTCAAAAACTTCAAGCAGTTCTGTTTCAGCAGCTCTCATATCATTAACAAACACAACCTTGACTCTATTGACTGTACTGTCATATCTTTGAGTTATATTATATGTCCTTCCTATCTTATATCTTTTTGTGTTGAAGTCCTTCGGTTTCTGAACGATATAAAGTAAGCCTTCACTGCAACGTTCTGAGTCGAATGAACCATATGTTATGAAGTTATATCCAACAACTGGGTCAATCCATAGAAGAATTATTGGTATAAGACTTTTGTCAATGAGATATGCTGTGGTTCCATAGAATCTTACCGATATCATAAGCTCAGGATTTCTTGTCAAAATTTTCTGAGTTGAAGCATTTCTAACCCAGTCGTGTGTTTTCTTTCCAGATGGAAATATAATGTCTGACAAAGAATATTTGTTGTATTTCTTTGAGTATCTTACGTTTAAATCACCTATTCTAACCAATTTGGTGTCATTGTCTATCTTTCTAACTGTTTCAAACTCAATGTTTGTCATTTCTGTTCTTACATACAAAATAAAAAAATAAATAAAAATAAAACTAACTTTATTTTTTCTGTCTTAAGGAAATTCATGATTTTTGTTGCTGAATTCAGCAAAAATAATGTTTATGTTAGCATGTTAGATCTAACACGTTTTCTAACCTCTTTTCTAACATAACTATTTACAAGCGTTTTACATGGTATATGTTGCGATGGTTCATGACTTTAAACAGTTTTGTAGCTTCTATTTCTTCTTTTAGTACATCGAATGTTTTAACAATGCCGAAGGTTTCTTTATATTTCTTCTTGACGTCAGATAGAAGGAAATCGTCAGCAGTTGGATAATTTTTGTTCAGAAATGCTAACATGTCCATTTTATCTTCTGCTGGCTTTTCTACTTCTTTCTTTAAATCTGCATAGTCGTTTCTCATTCTTTCTATCTCTTTGACGGAGTAGTTATATTTCCTCATCGCTGCCTTACATTTTGAACATTGCGGGTTCATTTTTGCGTTATACATTGAAATTTGACCTGCTAAAACAACTAAGGCGTCAATTGCTCTCTTCATCTCAAACATAGCGGGTCTTAGTTGTTCGTTCCATACTTTGCCTCTTCTATCTTTATCTCTTATTTCCCAAACACATTCAGCAACTAATGAAACAAAGTTATCGTAGGTCTTAAATTCTTCAGATTTATATATGTCAGAAACATTCTTATAAACCATGTCGCAATCTTTGTCCATAACTTTATGGTTGCAATGAAAACCAAGGAATTCATAATTTACTTTACGTATGAACTTCTTTATTTCTACTGAGTCAGTTGTTTTGACTTCAATTTCGTCGAATTCAGGAATAGTTAGTTTTTGTTGTTGGATTTCAGGCAATTTGGGTAAATGGTCAATAATGTCCTGCATTTCATAAAGATACTGTTCATTTGTTTCATCTTTCGCACTACAGTCTAAATTACTTGTAAAAGTTCTTGCTTTATCTTCTGGATTTTTGTTTCGAAAGTATATGAAGAAGGAATGAAGCTTTTCATCTCTACTAACATAGATGTTGGATTCATGACTAACGAGTTTTGGTGCTGTAGTTTGAATTGTTGTTGTGCCGATTGTTGAAATCATATCTTTACATACAAGATAAAAATTTTTCTTAGAAAAAAATTAGCGTTATTTTTCTTTCATAAGGAAATGTCAAAAATTCATGATTTTCGAGAGTTTTAGACCATGTTAGAAAAGTGGTTAGAAAACGTGTTAGATCTAACATTCTAACATAAACATTATTTTTTGGTGTAAATAATGTACCATTAATGATATCATGACTGTTCTCATTCATGTCTGATTTACATCTAATGAAAAAGTTTAGAAGAATTTTCTTATTCTTTCTGGCATATTTTTGTCTTTCCAGTACTCCCGCTCTAATGGTCCCAGATGTGTTGGCTTTGACTCTCTCAAGTTCTTAGATGGTATAACATCTTCAACACCTCCTTCATATCTTACTTTATAAGTGTCATCGTTTATGTTGTAGCCAAGTATTTCAATAACCACTCCTCGCTTTGCTTCGTCAATGGTTTCAGCAAGTTTGCCATTACTACTTTCAACTAACTTATGTCGAGGGTAAAATGCTATGGAGTCGTCAGCAGCTTTTATAAGATATCCATTACCTTGTGTAGAGTCTACGATATAATAGTTTCTACTTAACCTTAAACGTTTCTTTGTCAACGGTTTGTCGTCAAGAACTACACGAACTTTTGTACCAGGAATGAGGGTAAATTGTGTTGAATTTCTGATATTTTGTGTTTGGCTTCGTTTCTTTTGTATATACTTTTCTTCTTGTTGTTGTGTCATTGAATTTGGTGTATGTCCTGTTGTAGAATGTGTTGAGGAATTATATACTTCGAGAAAATGTTTCATTGTTTCTTCGGTAAAGTCTCGCTCTTGATTTAAATCTCTGAGCGTTCTTATGAAGCGGTTTATGATGCCGAGTATGTTATGGTTATGGTCTTCAGTAGTGTAGTGAGTTATGTTATGCTTAATGAGAAATTCTGTGATTTCATTGCTGAGGTATGCACTGTCTTGGTCTGATGTTAAAGTACTTGGGTTATGTTCTGCTACAAACTTTTGTAAAACTCTTAACACTTCACGAGTTCCTTTATTTTTCATTGGATATGCATATGCTTTACGAGTGTTAACATTTATGAAGATGAGGAATGGTTTATGTCCTCCTTTTCTGCTTTGAATGAGAGTGTCAAATTGGTATGCGTCAGGAGTGTTGGAGTAAATTGGTAAAAAGTAGTCGTAAGGGTTTATTTTTGTTTGATGTACAACATTTTTGTCAAAGAACCTTTTCACTTCAGCTCTGTTAGTAAATCCCCAACTCTTTGCAGCTTCATTGAATTTCTTAAATGACCTCCATGGATGTTGTTCGAATACTTCTTTCAAGCTCATTTATGTAAAGTTAAAGATTTTAACCAACTCGTATCCAAGCGTGCATTGTTATATAAGGAGGCATATAATCTTTTCCATTACCTGCTGGGTCTGTAATACCAGCTACAACATGTGTATGATTTCCTGCGGTTCCACAGAAAATACCTGTGCTAACATCTTTGGGTCAGTTGTGATATCATATCTATGCATTCCCTGTCTATCCGAACCCGCTGCAAGATTTGTATAACCTCTTTTTGTTATTGAATGTGAATGGTTTCCTTCCACAGATGTTCTTCCACTGAACCTATGCATATGTGAAGGAAGGTTTTCAATACCTATTTTCTTTGAACCTCCCATCTTCATTGACTGAGTATTAGTGTAGAATGGAAAACTGTCAACTATTTCATACCATCTACCACCAAATAAAGTGTTTGGATTTATTGGATTCATAGACGTATAAACAGCTCCTATAGGATATATTAAATCATATATGCTCATAACTCTATAAACATATTCTAAAGAACTTATGTCATTAAATACCATTTGGAATGTATCTCCCGGATGAAATGTTGCATTTGTTCCACTTTTATAATGTAATGTTAGTTCAATAGAATTATCCAAGAAAAATTCAAAAGTATCCGGTTGAAGACCTCTAACAAATTCAAATGGAGTTGCTGGTTCACCATTTATAATTTCTGTTGTAAATGTCATTGTATCTGGTTTCGAAAATTTCTTTGTTAGTTCTGCATCCACATAAGTTTTGTCTGCTTTCTTATCTAACATTGTTGGTAGTTCATGTGCTTCAAAGTTTCTGGCATGACTTTCAATGTTCCTGCAACTCTTATCTAAACTGTTAAGAGTATCTTTTACGCTTGTACTTGGATTTTCTAATGGTGCACTTGAACCAAGGTCAAAGTTCAATATTATGTCGTCTGCTCTAACAGTAGTGAAGGATTTATGTGTATGGTTCTTGTCAGCTTTACTGTCTAATGTAGCTTGAAGTTCATTTATATCGGAGATGTTGTGTTTATGAGATTTCAAAACTTTGTTCGTTGCTTCGAGTTCAACTTTGTCAGCTTTACTTTTAATAGCATCTTCAAACGTTATTTTTGCCTTAACTCTTAACATAAATCTTGGTTCAACTAATACACCGTTAACATTGAAAGTAGAGGCATAAATTTCACCGGTATAACCAAATGCTTCTGGTGCTTTAGCTACATCATACTGTACAGTACAGCTTATGTCATAACCTTTAGCACGAATGTATTTATATCTTCTTTCATTAACATTTTTTGTCTTCGCTTCATCACTTCGTGTTAAATATCCATGGTAGTCCGTTATAATCTGTTCGTCTGAAGTTATATAATGAACATGGTTCTTGTCCGCTTTACTATTTAATGTAGCTTGAAGTTCATTTATATCGGAGATGTTGTGTTTATGAGATTTCAAAACTTTGTTCATTGCGTCAAGTTCATTTTTGTCCGCTTTACTATTTAATGTAGCTTGAAGTTCATTTATATCGGAGATATTGTGTTTATGTTCTTTATCTGCTTTTTCGGCTAATTTCTCTTCTATCTCATTTATTTCAAGTTCATGCCTACCACCACCTCCCGAAGAAGTATTTTTCTTCAGCTCTTGAAGAACGTCCACTTCGCCATCTTTGGTGTCAATAATGAGACTTTGAGTTAAAACCTTTCCTGTCTTAATGGATGTTTGTAAAACTTCTTCTTCACCATGTTTCGGGGTCATGGTCGTCATCATATCTTGTGA